CCTCTTTAAGTCGATATATATTTCTTCTCCTATGCATGATGCCCAGTGAATTGGCAATATTCATCTTACCTTTTGCCTAGGTGAATTATCATAGTGTTGGAATGTGAATGCAGTATATCTTTGTGAAGCTACAAGATTTGCTCTACAGACAAAACCAGAGCTGACCTGATAATCGGAGTTTAAATCTCTCTTAATAGGGATGTTGCAGAGTGACAGAGCCGAGAGGGAAGCTCGTCCTCTAGCAGACAGTGAAATGCATCAGCCACTGGAGCTGGTTTGAATGCAATCCCCTCTTGTAAACCCACAGGCAAGGCTTAGAGAGGAGATTCTCTTGTCTGTGACTGGTACTCTGTCTGCCTGTGCTGCTCTCACTTTTAGGCTGAATTGCAGCAACTTCTGCATTTTGGAAGGTTTGGTCAGTACGGAATGTGATTGCTGGCTCTCTCAATAGTGTGTCATGTGGAGAGCACAGACTGGGGAACCTGGAAACCATGGGAAACTCATGGTTTTCCATCTTTAAAGAAATGAACATTATAAAATGTTCAGTCTTTAATTCTGTTACAAAAACAGGAGAGAATTGTACAAGATAGAATTAAATATGGGAATGCTTAAGCACAGAGAAACAATGGGTTAGCTTATTAAAGGGAGGGGGAAGCTCAAAACATAAAAATGAAATTCTTCTTGGTGAAAATCATATAGACAAGCAACTTGTTTTGTTTTATGATTCCTTGGAAAGACAGTATTCTGCACAGCTGTTAGCCACGTAAGAAAGAAATACATATGTGCATATCCAAGTGTGAATATTCCTTACTAATCCAGTTTCCCCAAATACTTGGAATGAAGCTTTCAACAGTGCTTGTTAGATTATAAAAAAAAAAAAATCCCCTCGAGAAACTATGTTCCAAAACCTCAATTCTTATTAGGAAATGAAGCAACTTTCTCATGGCATAAAAATAATGATGCTTTGGGTAAAAGCTTTCAACCATATGGCCCACAGAAATAGCAGGCTTCAGAAAAATTTATCTTAAACAGTACATAAACAATTTATCTTTGCACATGGAAGCTGCACACCAGACAAAACATGTTCTTGCAAAATGCCATTCCTTAGAAAAACATCTTCAGTCTCAATCTTCAGGTAAGACCCTGCAAAACTGCATTATAAAATATATCAAATGGTACAAATGCATGGGAAGGAAGGCCATGTCCCCTGCTGCTTCTGCCAGTGACACAGGAGCCCATGGCACAGACTGCTTGATCACAGGGTTTGTGGGGACTTTTTAGTTGCTAGGCTGAGTTATGGAGATGAAAAAGTGTAGTTTGTACACAAGCAAGTTTTAAAGTTACCACTTTGAGTATATTTAGTGTCTTTTCTGTTATACTTTGGATGAAAATAGACTTCTATTGCACAAACATACATTATCTTCTTTGAGAAGCGTAAAAAAGGAAGAGACATGATCTAATTGAAGTTGGTGAATAAATGAGCAAAATATATTTGTCTGATGAGGCCAATGGTACCTTTTCATAAAGACTTTTAAGTAGCCAGCCTTTGTGTCAGTACACAATCTTTATGGTTGCAAGAGCTTAGCAGTAAGCTTAGACAGCTTTGCCTGTTTTGCTGCTTTTCTCATCAGTGCCTTAATGCCTGCTGATTAAGGGCTCATAAATCTTTGCAATATTAGCAGAGGAGTCCATTTTCATAGCAAATGGCAACATTTCCCTGCCTCCTTCTAGCTGCTATCACACACGTGTGGCATATACTTGTAGGTATCATTGTCACGCTCATGCCATATATTCTGAACAATGAATGCTCTCTTCCTGGTAACCTGAACCTCTTAACCACTGCTAGAGAGTAGCCTTTACTCTTGAGGTCACCTAACTTGGCAAGTCAGTGAGTTAATGGGTCTGAAAAGATTATCCTAGACCAAAATTGATGTAAACATTCTCCTTTCAATGTAGAACGCATGGGCTTGCATGCCTTTCATCTTTCACTGCACATTCCAGATGTTTGCTTCTTTCCTCTCATCGTATATACATGATGGGATAGATAATGTACTGAGCTGAGATTTATGTCTAAGGCATGATGTGTTTGTACTCTACTTCATTACACCTTCTTTTTCCCTTTTATTTGGGAAAGGAGAAGTATCTTAAAAGCCTTTTTTTAAATTCAGGTTTGATTTGTTTATTCAGTGCTTTCCAAAAGCAGTCTAGTTGGAGTTCCTCATCCCCTCTATTTCCTCTGCTGTTGCCCTGCAATACATCTCCTTTCAGTTTAGAGTGACTCTATGACTTGATTGATTTGAAAAAGTTCCAGAAGACAGACCTCAACATTTGCTTTGAAAAGGTCCATATTAAAAAATAAATAATTAAATAACTAACTAGACAAATAAATAAATACCATCAACATAAACCCAGACTTTTTCCTTGATTTATTTTGACAATCAAATGCTAATTTCTAATTTTTCCCCAGGTGATGCACTAATATGTATTCACTATTTAAGATTATGTGAAAACATTCTAAAGTTACAGTGGGTTTCAGTGTTGATCTTTCACTGAGTGTCAGCAGCCCTTAATTGCTAAATGCAATTAAAAAAATTATTTTGTTTTTTGGGTTCAGTCTGGAAGACTCGAAGACTTAACTAATGTTAACTTCTCTGCTATATAGACTTTTTTTTCTTTGGTTCATCCAAATGTCATTTATTTTTCCCAAACAGGCATTTTAGATCTATTAATAAAAGTCAGAATCTGCCGTAGACCACAGTTATTCCTACTTTTTCCTGTTTTTCCAATTCTTTATTTCCATGTTCTTTATTTCACTTTCTGTCAATCCAGAAGAGATTCCTTTTTTCCTCAGTTCAAGGACTATGCAAACACACTTGATGCAAAATGAAAATATATGCTCAAGTTTCAAGAAAAGACATTTTAAGAAAAAGGAAATGTTTTTGAACTATGATAACATCACCATCCAGAAAAGAATTGTGATTATTTCACTCAATAATTAGATATGTTTATATATATATATATATATATATATATTTATGTATCTATTTAAGAGAAACATATATATATATTTTCTCTTACATTAGGCAATTTGTTGCCATTTCACATAGCCTTAGTTTACCTGAAACCTTAATATACTTTACATTAAGGTTAGGAGATTGCATAGATATGTTTCCTCTCTTGAGTTTGAAGAGAAACTGGATTCAAAATTCTTAAAGAAGAGGAAATTATTCAGGTATTTTGAGTTAAAAACACCATCTAACCAAGGGGTACTTGGGAGGGAGCACTCATCTGGTGGTGAAAATGAATAGAGGAAATTTGTCTTCGTAAAATTGTGGGCTTGCATCTGTAGTGCCTTGGTCTGACATGTGAGTTTGTAAACTTCTTAGCTTTCCAGAAAATACTATTAAGGCTTATATCTAGCTACTGGGAAAAATAATAGCACTCGTAAAAGATAAAACATTGAGACTAAGTAATAAGAAGAATTTTTAGCTCAAGGGTGCACATGCCGGGGTGAATTTTATCTTATGTATTTTGGGCTTTTACACCCTTTCACCAAGACATGGGGTATGATTGCATGCTTCCACTTTGTGTACTTTTGTACTTTATTTAAAGAATAAATCACCTTTATCATGTGATAAATTTGTATATCTGTACATTACTTTATAAGATTTTTCAAATTGTTTTAGCAAATTTGACAAGCTAAAACATGAAATATGTTTTTTTCTCATAATTTCTAAAATTTTCACAAATTGATAGATCACTTTCCAGTTATTAATAACCCCTTTGGTCAGACTGTAGGAATTATGTAAATTATCTCTGGTGAGAGAAGGAAATTCATAGTAAATAAACCATCCAGCTGAAGCAAACTTGCAGTAAGTGAATTGTCTCACTAAAAAGGGGCTTGATTATTTGATTTCTCTTGGCAGTTTGCTAAGTCTTTGCCATGAATTCAAAAATCACTCTCAGCAAATTTACTGTACAGATCTTGGGTTCTTGGAGCTGCATTATTGGAAGGCTGGAATTTGTCTGTTAGGCTTTTATGTCTGAAAGCATAAATTAAGATTATTTAAAAGAAGGCAGTGGGCAACTGGGATTGTCAGCAGAGTAATTCTCTCCCATTAATACCTTTAATTGGTCTTGTGCCTAATTTGCATAGCTAATTCATTAAGGGCTGTTTAATCCAGCTCTTAGTAGCTTCTTATTTGTCTGCATGAGCCTTCTGTAAGAGCAGACAAGCTTTAGATGTGGTGCTCTGTAGTCCCTTGACACAGTAGTTTTGCATGTAAGGCTCAGGGAACCCCTCCACTCCCTGGTGGCACTGTGTTATGGGATCATTCTGCTACCCTGAGGAAAGACATGGTGATGAAAAAATAGTGAGCCACTTTAGCAAGCATAAACTCCTGTGAAATTTTGTATTTGCTGTTTTCCATCACAGTGTAGGCATATTGTCTACTAATGCTCTTATCTTTAACACTTTACTTTCCCATTTTAAATATAATTAATTAATATTATGCTAAGGTAGTAAATGTAATATTACATTGCAATAAAACCAGTTTTAAAGTTTTGCTGCACACAGCTAAAATATGAAACCGGAATTATGCTAAGGAATAGAGATGCTGTTCTCTCGTTGATCCTGACACTTTGGGGCTTTTATGATATTTGTTTCTGTGGTATGATGAGAGATTTAGTATTGTGGAGAATGTCTGGAAGCCTTCAGTGAAAAAAAGGAAAAGTCATATTTTGCAGATTTTAATTTTCTGTAGTTGACTGAAAGATTAAAGCATGTTTTTTCTTGCTTTGCACTGATGTATTTCATTCTGATTTTAAAACTTAAATTTTGCTTTTGGTCCTCTGTGTAACAACTTTCATATCGACTTGCTTACCACATGTGAAACATAAAATCAGTGTTGCAGGCATGCATTTTTTTTTTTTACATTATGATATAATCTGTTTCTTTGTCTTTCAAAAATCTAATTCAGCTTTTCTTTCTCCTGTGGCAGGATGACAAGGACTTGGTTCATGAGTTTGTTGTTGCTGAAGGTCTGACTTGCTTAATCAAAGTGGGAGCAGAAGCTGACCAAAATTATCAGAACTACATCCTGAGAGGTAAAGGAAATGCATCCAAAAGTTTTTTTTATTGCTTGGAAGCTCTCACAGGTCTGCACCAACTTTCTGTGCAAAGTGTCTTTGAACTTGCTTCTGTTTGGTCTTGATTCTTTCACGTTATGCATAAAGCTAAGGGAAGATTAATGCTCACCACTGAGCAGAATGAACTGGAATATTTGGAATTGTAATATTCTCCCCATTGTTCACCTTTTCTTGTAGATTACACTGCAGATCTCTAATTCTAGGAAAGAAAAGGCATTCTAAAGCCTTTACTGGATAACTGTGTCAGAAGGCACAGAACAAAGTGGACTGTGGAGTCTGGTCATCTTTTACAAAGGAGCTGCTGTGAACAGGTTGAACTGTTCAGAGCAGGAGGAGTTCTGTGAGCTGTGTTTCTCTCCTTTCTTGCAGTGATGGGTGGCTGTTGACCTCCCAAGCAGCATGGAGGGTTTTCTCCATGCTGCTTAGACAGTTGAAAACTCCCGGGGAAACAGAGAGGGGCAGCACCTAGACTGCTCCATCACCCGGTTGGGAGATGTGTTTTCTTATTTTCTTATTTCTTTTCTTAATTAATTTCCCAGAATGCAACATCATTGGTATCTCTTGGATATCATGCAGTATTTATGGAATAGACTAGGAGAAAGTTACACCTTAAGGGGTCAGTTTGCTGGAAACCATTTTAAGCTATGTGGCATTTTGGAGTTAAACAGGTAATGAGAGGCTTATGTTCTGTTCTTTGCACTTAAAAGATAACTGGCAAAGGTGGGGTTTGGAGAGGGATTTGGAAAAAGGTGTGCTACGTGATTAGAAAGCTGATTTCCTCTGTTGTGGGGCAAATGGATGCATGTGTTTTTCATCTAGCCAGGGAACCTGGGCTGTAAGTTTGGAGAGTTTCTTCAGTATTTGAGGGGAGAATAGTCACTTCAAGGGATTTTTGCTGCTGGATGATCTCATAGTAAATGGAGGCTGATTACAAATACATAATTGTGGTAGATTGCTCATTTGAGTTTTCTTAGACTGACGTATATAGCTGTATTTAAAAATGTCACTTTGAGGTATTTAACTGCTAAAACCCAAACTACACATTGTGGGGCAAAACAAACCCCCAGAAACAAGAAAAATAAGTAGAAGGATTTTGTACAAACCAGAAATTATTATTGCACAAACTTGAATTATGGAAAGCAAGGATTCAAACAGTAAGTGAAGCTTCATGTGAAGACATTGAAGATAAGACCAGGCTTGGAGGTGTAAAAGAAGCAAACCAGTACTACAGGAATTATGTTCCATGTCAGTAGCTGTGCAGTCACATAAAAGTACTTGAATAGAAGACAAGGACACAGAGACATGTGCAATTAGAAGTTTCTGGGAAAAAACTGGCCATAGATGATCTTGGAAAATTCAGACTGGAAGCAAAATAAAAGTGCTGTATGGGACATTCTGGCCCTTAGTCTAGGAGCCTTCCCATTCTCCTTCCCTTCCCATACCCTAATGCATCCAGCATTCAAGGAGATCTAATGGTCTCTTTCTTGTGGTGGCTTTCAAGAGCCTGGTTTCCATGATCTAAAATTAGAAATTTTCATGTGAATTCAATTAAAGATAAAACAGAGACTTAGTGTCAATGTCCATGGCATCATACAAATGCAACTGCAAACTCACCTTGTTGCATTGTTATTAAGTGATTACAGCTTGTTCAAAATTAACGTAACAAAACAACATTGACAATAACAAAAACTAACTATGTTGAAGTATGCCATAAAGGTAAAAACATTCTTTTAGGAAGATGCTTTTAGGGATTGGTAGCTTCTGAAATCAGGGGGTTTTTTTCCCTATACTGCTGCTGTGTGGAGCTGAAGTTTCTCTCTGAGTAGTGTATCCTAGTATCCTTTACAATAATACTATTTTTTCTTTGTGATGTGAGCTTCATTTCAGTTTTGGTCTTGATTGTCTTTCAGGAATTTCAAAGGTTGTTACAACTCCAAAATTATGTCAGGTGGTTTGCAGTTCCAGGAGGCATCATGTACTTTCTTAGTAGGTCTCCATGTGCAATGAGATAACAATAGATTTGGAAGTACGGTTTTTTTTGGTGACAGTTGTGTGTACCTGTTGCAATGCTGCATTTTACAAAACCTGGAGTACTGGTAAATACGTGAATAAATTTTACTGAAGGTACATCACTGTTAGCACAGAGATGGGTCCTGTAAGCTCTAAGATTAGTGTTACATAGTGGAGATTTGAGAAGTAAAAAGTAGTCTTTTTTTAGACATTTTTTGCCTTCCTGCTGTGTTGTCCTTGTTCTGCAGACCCTTTTGGAGTGGAATATTCTTATTTTCATTGCATTTAGCCTAAATCATGAATAGATGGGATTTCTCCTAAGTTCCATATTCTGGCATTTCTCCAGCACCTTTGGTGTCATTCACTCTTTTCCTGTGGCAATTCTAACTCAGCCACTTGTGACGGTAAGTGGCAGCCTTAGGCACAGCATAACCTCGTTTGCTTGGAGGACTCACCTACATGAAACTGTTCATCACCTTTACTGAGCAATTTCCCAGTGTTTCATATCAACTTGTTTGCCTGCACTCATCAAGAAATGGCTATGTACCTTGGAGGGAAAATAGGCTGGAAATACACATAGGCTTAAGGGCTGTAGGTGCCTCAGTGTAGCTGCTTCAACTCCAGGTACAAGTTGTTTCTTGAAGATATTATTTTCCTTTTTCCAAAAGGCTGCATTGTTTCACTCTAATGTTCCCTAGTTGTGAATTTCTGCTAAGGGGTTTTGACTTGGTTCAAGTCAGACTGAGCTGCCAAAAATGATTAAATATGAGTCATGAAAATTTTAGTTACTTTGGTGGGTGAGTGTAGAGAAGGTAAGGAGATTTTATGTACGGTGTTGAGAAATACAGACAGTTTATTGTTGAATACTAAGGAAGAACTGTTTATTTCTTCTCAGGTCCCTGCACTAGGGCTATTTGGCTGTATCTTTCCCAAAGGATTCCCTTCTGTCAGCACATAACCTATAGACTGGAAGCCAACAGTAGCCAGGCTTCTCTCAAGGGTTTCTTTTTAAAAAATCTGGCTTAGAAAACAGCTTTTGATTCTCCTTATTTAACAGTTCTTAAAATGAAATTTATTCTCCAATGTTCCTTTTAATTATTATGGCCATCTAAAGAAACCGTGTTTTGAGGGACTTCCCCCCCCATGGAAACAGGCTTGTTTCCCTTTTGTTATTTCTTCCCTCTTCCATTTTTTCCACAAAGATGAAGAACTTCATTGGATAACACTGAAGTTAAAATTTTCTGTCCAGGTTACAAGATTGCAGTATGCTGGATGTTACCTAAATATTCAAAACCAGCTAGGACTAAAGTTAATGAAAATATCCATTACTGATGAGGATTAATATAAACCTTACTGTAATTTTGAAGAATCTTTGGATATAATTTTGAGAGCATCTGTTCCTTGCACAGAATAAGAAAACAACACATGAAATGCCGTGGTAGCCATGCTTTCTGATAATTTGGCCAGTGCTGTTGGGAAGGTGAGGAAAAGAACAAAGCAGCTTGTGCAGACCAAGGCTTGATTCTTTTAAAGATATACTTAATAAGTAAGCTATGAGGTTCAGGGATGGCTTTGCTGGCCCTGTGATGTAAGTTCTGCCTGGTGGGGTCCTGTGCTGTCTGTCCCTCAGATCAAATGAGAAGGTTGTCAAAAGGTCATCCAGTCTCATTTGTAGGGTCTAATTGTGTACTTGGGTCCATATTTGGCTGCTTATGGATTCAGATCAGTATTTAGAAGTCTCCATAATTAGATGAAAACTAGATATTGTTCTTGTGATCTGAAAGCACAAGCCAAGTGTTCAGTCTGAGCAGGCAAAGGCCTTCACCTTGCTGCAAGGTCTAAGGAGCTAAGGCTGAGGGAAAAAATAGGACAGCAGTCATAGCAGACTAGTCATAAGTGCTCATACTAGACTATGCTTAAATCAAATTCAGCTTTTGGATGCAGCTCTCTGATTTAGTGAGAGCTGTGTGCTTATATGGAGAATAAGAATTTGAGTGTCAAGTCTGGATGAGAGATGGTTTCAATTTTGTTGGGCAGTTTTGAATTTCTAGTGCAGGGTTTTTTAAAAAAGAAGAAATAAAGTGCTTGGAGGAGCCTAGGAGTTATGATTTGAGGTAATATTTGTGCTTTAAGTTAACCACTCTCCTGTAAATCCCTAAACCATTACTGTAATCTAAAATTAAAGATAATTAGAATCCTAAAAGATTTAGGTTGAAAAAGGCCCTCAATATCACTGAGTTCAGCCATTAACCTAACATTGCCAAATCCACCATGAAACTATGGCCCTAAGCACCATGTCTGCACTTCCTTTAAGTATCTCCAAGGGCAGTATAGTCAAAACTTCAATAATTTAGACTTAATTCACTAATCTGGGCAGAACACTAGGTTGCAGTAGACCATTTTCCTTTCACATACTCTGCACTTCTGATAAAGTGCTGAAGTCCTGTGTGTTTCTACAGATATTGGTGCAAGCACAGAAGATATTGGTAATGGACCTGAGTAAGGGATTTGACATACTCTGAGGGACAGTGACATACCAGTTAAGAGGATTAAAGGTTTATAAATTCATGCACAAAGTCAACAGCATCTTCAGTCTGATAGAACAGCACCTTTACTATTATTATATGCCCTACAGTTTTTTTGTTATAAATAGTAAATAGTAGTTTGTTTTGGAATTGCATTTGTACAAGCATACTTTTATCTTCATGCAGATAGCATGAGTATACAATAATGCTCTTTTTTCCCTTTTTTTTTTCTGTGTTTTGCAAGACTTTTGGGGGCTTCTAAGTAGTTTTATGAGGGGCTTTTACTAGAAAAGTTCTGTATGAGTCCTAAAATGTAAATAAAAAAGAACTGAGTGTTAAAACACTAAAATCACATGTGAAACATAATTCCAAGGCACATTTTGATCTTTTTTATATGCTTAAATTATGAGGGATCCATTAAAA